TGGGAAAGGAATTACCAGGTCATCCCCATCCCCGCTGGCGGTGGGCCATCTTTCTTCTCGAGATCTCATGGTTTCTTGATGGATTTGGGTGCCGGATGGGGACGGCCTCTGATATGCATTTCCCCACGATTTGAGACCAAAATATTGCCACTCCGTCTTTTAATATCGATTGAAATAGCAGAGCGGACGTCGCCACCTGACCGGTAGAGCCACTATACCACATCTTGTTTGACTTGCTCTCGTGATTCCGAGAAGGCCTCTTCCAGCGCGACGGTCGGCCATTGGTAAGATCTTCCTGGAGGAAGATCCTGTGGAGCCCATGACCGGCCAGACTGCTTCTCTCTGCCAGGAGATTTTACACGTGTGCCGCCTTTGAAAGCGAGAGCGTCGAAGATACCCATCTCAAGCTTTGGCCGCAATGCGGTAGCCAAATACTTCGCGGCCGCTTCGTGAGGGGTGAAAAGCGTTGTTAGAATCAAGAGTTGGAGAGTAGGATCGTAGTCGAATTTTTCTGGAAATCTTTCTTCATGATTTCTAATTTCAGGATGGGGGAAATCTGTGAAGATAATGCAGGGACTTCAGGTTTCGTCTAGGAAGCACCTGCACTCTTCATTTACGGCTTCTTCCAAGCATTGGAACCCTGAATATTTGTATTTGCAGGGTGGTGGAGGAAGGTGTTCCAGGAATCGATATCGCGCTTGCGTTTTTGCATTTTCCATATTCACGGGGTAATTTACGGATGTTGAAGGGAAAGGAAGGGTGAGTGAATGATTGTATTCTCTGTCTCTGTCGAGGTGCTCGTTGAATATTCACTGCATCTCGAAGCATGGAGATATTAAAAAAATATATCGATGAAGAAAGATTAAACTTAAATAGTCAGCAGAGAACTTGCGATCTCATCAACTCGAAGGCAATGAATGTACACCTTTACCCTCTAATACTCTACTGCATCATGTGCGCGAGAAGGGAGAGTGCTTCAGTTCCGAGACAGTACGGAGCTGTGAGCTATTATAGTCTCGAAATATACGGACATTTTGTTATCTACAAACTTCAACCCGCAAAACTATACTCAAACTCTCCTAAGTCAGATCATATGAAATCATGGGTAGGCAGTTCTTTCGGTGCGGCAATATATCCACGCGCCGCCAGAAGTCGAGCTTGTATCAGCTTTAGAAAGCGATAGGTATTATCCAGGATTGGGGTTTGGAGACGCTTTTCCCTCGCGATCCGCAAGGCGTTGCCCAATACCACTTCCACCTCAACCGGGTTACCTTTATCCACGTCGACAAGCATGCTTGGCCGGGATGGGAGATGAATCGGAGTTGCTTCCAATATCTCATCAATAACGTCGTCTTTAAAAACGTAGCCATCGGCACGAGCGATTGCTATTATTTCCGCCATGGCAGGCCGGATCAAGCTGTAATCACCCCCGAATTGCCGGATCGTTGCACTGTCTAGTTGGGTAATGGCACATACGGGGTTGAAGGAGCCATTCCACAACAGCTTTCGCCATCGATAGAACACAATGTCGTCAACTGTGCTGATATCGACAGCATTGCTGGCAGTATAAACAGCGGCGAACTCCTGGAGCTTGGCCTTCTCAAGTGAGATATCCAGGGACGGATTGCGGAAGGCTCCTAGATCCATGCGATCGTGGTCATCGTGGATGACATGACCATCTCGCTGATGTGCGCCGATATAACTGGCACCTGAGAGCAGCACGCAGTGGGGGAACTCACTGATAAACTCCGGCTCGATGTAGATTCCGTTTTGAATTAGGACAATAGTAGTGTGCCCTGGAGTCACCGCTGGCCGGATTGTTTCTGGAATGTTGCATGTTTCAGGGACGTTTTTCATCGTAACAACGACGTAGTCAAATGGCTGAGCTGGGTTAGCTCTCGGTACCGCATTTACAACTATCTAGCTATATTAGTCTGGGACCTAGGGGTTTAGAGAGAGATAGATAGAGTTCGTACTTGTGCTGGGCCGATATGAGGTTAATGTCCCATGGTCGATTGAATCAATTTTAAAGCCATGCTCCAGGACATGGCGGTAGTTGGACCGTAAGACTGCTGTTACTTTCGCCCGTCCCGATCTTTCGAGAGCCACGCATGCCATAGTTCCCACACCGCCAGCGCCGACGACTAGAACGTGAGTGATGGAGCTGTTTGAGGATGACATGGGAAGGGCCTTGTTCGTTAAGGGCCTGCTTGGCTGACTGGAAAGGTAGATAGAGAGGAGAATTCAATGTTCGAATGAATGACTTGCTATTTTTGGTCAGAACATGGAGATGCGTGTTCAATCAATCAAAGCTACGGAAGTTGTACTTGTAGTTCCATGGTTGCGGTTGATAACCACAAATTGACGAATTCATGGTGGCTAAATAACCAAGTGCCATGGCGCATGAAAAGCCGAGAGGGAAAAAGGGAAATATAAATACGAGTCGTCTACACAATACATTCTACATCTCATCAGATCAAATTCAAATTAAAGGTCCATATAAGGGCTAAGGCATGAGTTAGCACGGGATGAAATCCATTCAGACTGTATGCCGAAGACCAAGATCAAAAAATTGAACATTATTTATACAGAGAACACTATTCCAACTTTCCATGGGCACACCATGGACTTCCGCACTGATCTTTTCACGCACGAGTTTGAAGCAGACAGGAACCGAGAATGCGACACGAAAGATTCAAAATGACATAAATTGAGTGTCACTTCATGAACCATGACTCCGGGCCCGTGTGCGTGATATTCAGATATAACTATGGCGCGCCATTCAAGCTGCTTCAAACAACCCCTCCCAGACCGTGGATGCGAGCTTGATAGCATGGTATTGACCGTGCTGCCACTCGCAAGAGCATTTCCTGCAGCTCGGAGTCTATGTAGTTCCCAAGGGGGCTTCAATAAGAGGAGCCCGATTGAAGAAACCTGATCGGGTGGCGATCTCTGGATATATGGCACGTATTCGCACGGCCCAATCGGTTTGTGATAGTTATCTTGAAATTCTTTTTGAAGGTAACTGTTCAACTTAAATGCATACATTCATAGATTCGCTATTCAGGAAATTTTTTTCTGAATTTAAATTTTTGTGGGATTAAAGAAGGAATATAATTGGCATTTATAGCCCACCTTCAGTGGCGTGTCTGCGAGGAGTTTTGGCATGAACAGATTTATCGCCCTCGTCTAAAAAGAAAGGATGGTTCGATGAGGCCTAGTTAGCTAGCCCAGGCAAGTCAGGACGAGCTTATGCTGACAAGATTCCACCAGGTGGGCGAACAGATGGGCATGATTGGAGGGGGTAGGTAGGGTGCCGCTGGCTAAGCTACTCCTTGCTGAACTAGCTAATGTCCTTTTAGATCTGGGGGGGGGGGGGGGGGTTTTTTACTTTTCAATGGAGTTGTTCTTGATAAACATGGTTGAAAAACCCATGTTTCAATAAATGTCTGAATAAACCTTTATCTAGCGCAAAGAAGGTAATTGGAGAAGACTAGCTTATAAGAGAGTAAGAGAAAGCAATTTTTCTGCAGGGTTAAAATTGTTTGATTATCATTGCAATTTAAACAAGGGTTTTATGTTGTGTGGAATTGTACTATCGCCACTAGTAGTTATTATTTATTTAGGAATATTTAATGACTTCCCCCTTCATTTTCATTCTAATTATACTATGCACGGAGTACGGAGTAGTACCTGTGCTTTTCACGAGGATGATAAACGACACATGGCGCGAATGGCAATTGCCATCAACCCAGCGATTTCGAATGTTTCAAGCTGTTATGTCCTGGAGAAGTTACACATCCCTCATGCCCATGAGTGTCGCCACTGAACGCAGGGATTCGTGATGGCAGATGCTCCCGTTGCACCACAGGGTTGATCGGGTTGATACAGGCCAAGCATAATTATTTATTGGAAGCCTGCGCCGGAGCCAAGCTGGCTATTTTTGCAGCGCCAGACTGCCAGTGCTGGTTGGCGTGGTTGGGTTTGCTGTGATCCATGGACCATAAATGGGCTGAGGCCAGCACAACAAATCTACACCATCGTCGGCTTGTGGGGACTGATGATGACACGAGTATCCGGCGTGTTCCCATGTTTGTTTTTATTTTTCGTCTTCTGCGCTTCCTGTTCCTCTTCCTCTCTCCCTCATTCAGTAATTGTGATTTGTCGCCTGGCCAAATATGTTCCTCTCTTTGTGTCGGCATGTTTGTTCTCGGCTGACGGTGCCCTT